TAGGGAAGCCATGGCTTTCTCATCCTTCTCAAAATCTCATTCTCTTGAAATTTACAAGAAATAAAAATGAAGTTGAAAGCATTTGTTTTGCTTGGTCTTTTGTTTGCAGCTTTCCTTCTCGTTACTTCCGCAGCAGTGGAAGCTGAGACATCTAAAGAAGAGAAGAAAGGTGAGCTTGGTAGTGGCACACCCCTATGATTTACTTTTCACAAGTATATAAATACAAATTGAAAATTTTCTTACAAAATTGTTGATCAGAACGATGGTGGTTGTGATATTTTTGAAATTTTAAAAGCCACCTTAATGGGTCATTTTTACTTTAAAGTGATGAAATTAAAGTTTTTTTGTCATTTTGTATTATTTTTTTCCTGTTTGTATAGCGCACTCATATATATTTAAAGAAAATGCTAAAAATCACTAGAATTTTAATTTAGAATTTCTTTTTGAAATGATATGGCAGTGGTATGTGTTTTTAAATGAACAAACCACAATATCTCATATCATTATGTTAAAAAAGTTGATATATATATATATATATATATATTTGTAACATGAAGTGACACAAAATTTGGTTTGAACTTCTCTACAAAATACAGTGGTGTGGACAAATAAAAAACTTGAGCACTGATCAGTCACCACTAGATTATGATGAGCGTATATGCTTCTGTTGCATGTGTTATATGGGTTTTCTTAGTATATCTTCATGTGCACCCAACACCACCATTATTGATGCTTTTGTTAACTTGTGAAAGCCGACGATGAAGTGAAAGAGATTAACCAGGGGGGAGGTATGTTAGTTTTTGATAAAACTCTTTTTAGAATGAATTATATTTTGTATTGAATTTTTTTCACTTATTGATTCATCTATTTTTGAAGAAACTAAGAACTTCTTTTATTATTTAATTTTCAGAATACTCTTGAGAATGAATTACAATGCTGTATTTATAAACTTGTAAGTAGTTACTAGTTTGTTACAATGGAGTGATAGTTATAACTAAATGGATGAGGTGGAATTAACTTCGAGAAGCTTCTTTCCACAGCTGGAATAACAGAATTAGTTAGAGCAGTTTTTTCTTGCAGCAGCAGTTGTACCAGAATCTGTTGAAGCAACAGTGGTACTTCTAGCAGTTGAAGCATCAGTGGTATTGCTCACTTCAATAGTCCCCTGCAAGCTGATGGGGCGATCAAGAACCATGAGCTTGGACTTGAGATATTGAAACCGAGATACGCTGACAGGTTTAGTAAACAGATCAGCAAGCTGATCCATAGTTGGAATGTATTGCAACTGAAATTGCTTAGCCAAAACCTTATCTCGGACAAAATGACAATCGATTTCGATATGCTTGGAACGTGAGTGGAATACGGGATTGGAAGCTAGAGCTATTGCAGAGAGGTTATCACACCAGAGTATGGGTGTAGTAGGGGAAGAAATGCTCATTTCAGTGAGCAGCATGGAAATCCAACTTAACTCAGCAGCGGTATTGGCTAAAGCTCTATATTCAGCTTCAGTGGAGGAGCAAGAGACTATGGCCTGCTTTTTGGCAGACCAAGAGACCAAATTGGACCCCAAGAAAACACAATAACCAGACGTTGATTTTCTATCAAGAACATCTCCTGCCCAATTGGAATCGGAATACCCATGCACATCAAAAGTACTGGAGGAGAAAGACAAGCCATGAGTGATGGTGCCTTGAACATATCTAAGAATTCTCTTCACGGCAGCAAAATGTCCAATGGTAGGGGCATGCATATGTTGACAAGCCTGGTTAACAGAGAGTGACAGATCTGGTCTGGTAATGGTGAGATATTGTAAGGCACCAACAATACTTCTATAAAGAGCTGGGTCAGAAAATGGTAAAGCAGCATTTGGAGGAACACCAGGCTTGACTGAGATGGGTGAAGGGCAAGGCTTACAAGATGACAAGCCAGCTTTAAGAAGAATTTCTTTGGCATATTTAGACTGAGATAACAGATATCCTGAACTGGTAGGCTGGACTGAAATACCAAGAAAATAAGCAATGTCACCCAATTCCTTCATGGAGAACACACTGTGCATCTTTGTAATGAGAGATTGAATATGAGAAGAGCTATCACTAGTGATCAAGATGTCATCTACATAAACCAACAGATAAGTGACTGAAGTGGATGTCTTTTGAATGAATAAAGAAGAATCACTCTTGCTATTAGTGAAGCCTTGAGACAACAAGTATTGAGAAAAGGTGGAATACCAAGCGCGTGGTGACTGTTTCAACCCATATAATGCCTTGTGTAGTTTACATACTTGATTAGGTGAAGAAGAATCTGCAAAACCTGGAGGCTGAAGCATGAATACTTCTTCGTCAAGACGGCCATGGAGAAATGCATTGGAAATGTCTAACTGTTTAAGTGACCACTGATAGTGAAGAGCAAGACAAAGTAAGATTCGTATAGTGGGTTGCTTAGCCACTGGACTGAAAGTCTCATGAAAATCTATACCCTCTTGCTGCAGGTACCCTTTAGTAACCAATCGTGACTTATACCTTGCAATAGTGCCATCAGAATTTCGTTTAATCTTGAAAATCAATTTACAGCCGATGGCAATTTTGTTAGATGGAAGAGACACCAAAGACCATGTATGTTATTGCTGAAGAGTAGTCAATTCATCAAGCATAGCTTGATGCCAAACAGGAGACATCAAAGCTTCTCTGTAAGAAGGAGGTTCAGTAGTAGTGTAGGAAGCTGTGGCTAGGACAGAGGAAGCAAGCAAACAGTGAGGAGTAGCAGTAACAGCAGATTTGGATCTGGTAATCATAGGATGCTGATTAGACTGAGAAGGAGGGAGAGGAGGTAACTCAATAGAAATAGACTGAATTGGAACTACAGGTGTGGGTAAAAAAGAAGGAGGAACTGCAGAAACTGGGACAGAAGGAACTGCAGAATCTGGGACTGAAGTAGAGAGAATCTGAGAACCAGTAGAAAAAGAGGAAGAAGGCCAGAAAAAAGATTGAATATCAGGTAATGTGGTTGGTAATTATGTTGAAGAGGTTTGAGAAGATGTAGAAGAAGTCAGATGAGCAAAGGGAAACACGTGCTCATTAAAGACCACATGTCGAGACAGATAGACTCTACCAGTGAGTGGGTCAAGACATTGATACCCTTTAGCAAAAGGATGATAGCCTAGAAAAACACAGGACACAGATTTAGGATGAAGCTTGAGAGGCTGATAAGGCTTAAGCCAAGGGAAGCATTGACAACCAAATATGTGAAAATAAGAGTAATCGGGAGTGTATTGAAAAAGCTTTTCAAATGGAGATTTATGTCCAAGCTTAGAAGAGGGAAGTCTATTAACAAGAAAAGTAGAAATAGCAACAGCATCAAACCAGTATTGTAAAGGCACAGATGAGTGATGAAGAAGTGCAGTAGCAGTTTCAGTGATATGCCGATGTTTTCGCTCAGCAGTACCATTCTGAGAAGGAGTGTGAGGACAAGAGTGTTGGTGAATAACACCTTGAGTACTCAAGAAGGACTTCATTTTATTAGTAAAATATTCAGATCCACCATCAGTTCGTAGAATTTTTAATGAAGTATGAAATTGGTTTTCAATATAAGCCTTGAATTCTATGAACTTGTCACATACTTCACTTTTATAAGATAATGGGAAAAGCCAGGTAAATCGACTAAAGTCATCCACAAAAAGTAAGTAGTATTTATAACCAGAAGTAGAAGAATATGGCCCCCATACATCACTATGGATAAGAGAAAGAGGAGCATTTACAATAGTATTAGACAATTGAAACGGAAGTCTATGACTTTTAGCTATGCAACAATCAGTACAAGCAGAGTCCATTTTATTCTGGGAAACTTTCAACAATGGTTTCAGATGATTATACTTCACTAAGGAAGGATGGCCTAATCTATTATGCCAAATAGAGGAAGAAACAGATGTCTGTGATTTAGCAAAGTAAGAATGATGGGCAGCAGGCAACATGGATGAAGAAGGAGAGTAAAAATGGTATAGAC